GCTTGTCTTACGGGACGGACGGGGCGGACGGCCGGTCGATCAATGGGGAGCCCAGGCCCCAATCCGTGGGATCTCTTGCGGCCCCCGCGCGCACCGCCCCCGCCCCTCGCGCCCGCCCCACACCGCTGACTCCGTCCCCGTCCGGGATTTCCGCCCAGAAATGCGTTCGGAAGATTTCTTGTTTAAAACGAAACGCAGTACACACACAATACGTTTAATTTGGAGAACGTTTGTTATCTAATTTCATTTTATTCAGCGCTTAAAAACCCAAAATTAATTAACTGAATTACAGCCTAAGCATGTGCTTTATGTTGTAATGATGATAATCTATTACATCGAGGAATGTATTTAAATTAAAACTCTTCGCTTACTCCAGTTAATTGAACCGGGAGTGTATCGACGCGCCACGGCGCCGCGCATCGTGTGATTCTTGCTTGCGCTTCGTGCCGACGTGGAGTGTCTGTGATCCGAACGTGTTGGGGAAATAGCATGCCGCCGTGATTATAGGATTGTTGGAGTGTAGCGCGGGGTTGATATTGTGAGGAGCTGTGGGCCTTGGACGGCCATGTGGTTTGGCGTCATGAGAGGTTTGTGGTGAAATAAATTCAGGCTTAACCGTGAGGAGAGGATTTGGTGTGGTATTGATTCATGGGTTTTTTGTATTTAGTTGTATGTGGTCGTTCCGCGAGGAACTTGTGGTTTGTCTTGGGTCGGAGGGTTTGAGAGATTCAGAGTATTTAACATACAAGTGATTTTAAAAACTTGGTCATCGTCAGGCAAATGCAGGTCTCTGGCAATAAACCCTTCACTATCATTTTAAATTTTCATATTTAGATTTATCTTCACTATGAGAAGTTTGAATTTGGGTTGGTTTAGAGAGGGGGGAGAAGTGTTTGTGGGAATATTGTGTGGCAAATAATTTTTAATGTATATTAGGGTGAGCAAAAGATTCATTGGGAAATCTGGATCTACTGCGTGATGGGATAATTGCGTATTTGGGCCGAGGATTGAAATATTGGGTGTTGGGGCATGCCTGGAGGAGAGAATAATAGTTTAGAGGTTTGTGAGATGAAATTGAGAGGAGTGGTATTTTGAAGCTTTCCGGTGGATATGTGAATTTGAAAATGAACGGCAGGAGGCTTCAAAGGTTTGTCTTAGATATTTTATTTTGGATTGTCCTGTTAACAGATAGAAGTGTTGGTGCTATCGTTGCGCCCATATAGGCGTATGTTATTGTGACTCCTTATTATCATTTAGAAGATGAGTAGCCGTCAGTTTTCTTATACTGAGGTTTCTGTGTTGATTAAAACGGGTATAGCTTTTAGACACGTGTCCTTAATGGGCTGTTTGATTGAAGAGTGGGTTTTCACGTTTGCCGTTTGTCCAGTACGACAACTAGGACTGGGCTGGCGAAGAATGAGAAAGCCAGAGGACATCAGTGTTATTTATTTCGGGTAGGGGGTATGGAAGGGAGTGACGTCTGAGAGTGAATATTAGATTGTGATTTTTTCAGGGTTAACTTTAAATTCTCCATTTTTTGGTTCAGTTTCGTAATAACTGTAAAAGTAGGATTGTATGTAATCGTAGCTAAAGTTTTATTCTGTTATGTGAGTGAAAATAGCGGTATGTGCCGCGTCCTTCCCAGCACCTACCCGATCATTACGCAATGGATGTATTTTCCTAGACAATTTTCTTTCGGAAGAATAGTCGTCGACTTAGCCTGGTAGGATAATACGGATTTACCAACACGATAATAACAGTAGTAAACGGAATGCAAAAAACAGCAATAATGACGTATGCATAAAGCATGACGGAGCAATAAAACGACGCGGCGAGGGGGTTGCGGAAAAGGTAACACCCATCTGCTATTCATTTATTCGCGATGAATCCCGGGGGAGCTGGGCGCGCGGTGCCTCGGACACTGATTATGCTGGCGGCGCGGCCTTTGCGCCGGCGACGGGGGCGGCGATGGAGGCGGCGGCGGCGGCGCCGTGGCGTCCCGACGCCCTCGAGCCGGGTCGCCGCCCCGCCACCCCCGCCGTGGGGTGTCTCCTCCGCCGGCCCGTCCCGAGCGCTGGTGCGCGCGCCAGCGAGCCAGCGCTGGCGCTCGCGAGATGCACACGCGTTTTTTTATTCGGCCCGTCTTCGGGAAATGTGTAATTTGGTCGGAACATCTTTTCTCCCGAGTGCCATTACCATAGGGAATGAGCGGTGGCGAGACGCCGGCCGGCCATTCAGCGCGGGCTGTACCGAGCGCCTCCGAAAATATTTACATGTTTGTACACAAGTGCGCGGGGCGCCGGGGAGCGAGGCGACGCGGGTGCGTCGCTGCGCGCGGGCCGCACGTCGCCTCCCGCCTCTTGAATTAATCACGCCCGCGCCCCGAACAGTGAGCAGCGGCCGGAGGAAGGTCGAACCGTAACGGCGTTGCGGGTGCGCCGTGCACCGACTCTTTCTTCCCCAACTCGCGACCTGTGTGAGATTTGTCTTGTTTCTCCCGGCGTGGAGTACCCGACCGAGTAAATATTTACCTAGTGAGTGCGGCTGTCACGGGGTGCCGGCTTCGTCCCGGCCTCTCCCGGCCCCTCCCGCGCGCTCCCCGCTCCCTCCCCTCACGCCCGGCGACGGGAGGAGCGAGTGTCCGACGCCTGCGTTGGTTGCGCGTGGAAAGAGAGAGAGGTGACGTGGGATTGGGTTTGATTTATAGTTCATCTGTAACAAGTTCCCTGCATGCGATGTCGGCGAAGGGAGAAGAAAGTTATTTTGCTGTCTTGTTTCGTGCGAGTGTCCATTCCGCCGACTATTTGTGCTGGCGAGGTTTCGAAAATAGATGAACGAAAGTCGAGGAGAGTGATCTGTAATCTAAAGCGTTTGTAATGCCGTATAAAATTTGTTTTATATTTAGTATTTTTCAAATAATTTAACACATTCCAATTAATTTAGTCACGGAAAGTGTTTGAATGTTTTTTTACTACTCCACAAACAGTTGTCACAAATAGGCAAATCGACCTCTTAAACAGTAAAATAACTTTACTGATTTCCCATTCTAAAACATGAAACATGAAACTTTAAGTTGTGCTCATTTGTTTTTTCACTAGTGAGATGAAATATTGTTTTATGTCGAAAAATTCCTTGATTCTTATTCATTGTTAGGTCAGGAACGTTAATATTGCCATGAAAATAATCTTTCTCCGTTCATTTGAATAGTAAATGATATTTACCAAACATTTTAGCCCCTTATTGCAGGGAAATAACATTTTAATTCTGACCAGCGCACAAGTGACTCGGGATGGAACATACTTTCTCTACGCGGTGGTTTACTTGCTCGTATTATGTTGTGGTTTCGAAAAAGATGTAGTGGCGATGAGGTAGATTAGTTTAGAGATAATTGTGCTTCCGGATTAGTCGGCCTTACTGGACACTCAATTTCAGACCACACGCTAAGAATCGCGACGGTGATCTGGCAGGAGGCAGGCGAACCACTGAACGGGAACGACTAAACTGGAAGAGCATTTCTACCATTCGCTCAGATTCGCACCTGCTATTCAACTAAGAGATTCTTGTCGTATTGTTTTCGATCTCTAGAGTTCACGTCATTCACTCGCGATACGAAGTATTCACATCAGGAGAGGGGTATAATTTTATTTTCCCCGTATTTTTCTGCTTCTTTCTATCGAAGAAAGTAACAATAAAATTTAAAACGCAATTTAATCCTGCGTAATCTTTTATGGCAAGAAAGGTATTCAAACTAACGTCTTTTAAGCTCACATTGGGGAATACATCGCACAACAACTATTTTGGATTCTAAATTTTTTCGCCTGTTTTTTTTCCACTCGATATATTTCAACGTCGAAAGATCGCTAATCGCATATGAATTGTAAGGAGTATGTTCATGCAATTCCATTTAGAAGGAAATATACTAACATTTCGTAGAATTAGTGATTATTGAAAACTGTTTGCATAACGACTACTCACATATAAAAATAATTCTGAATGAATTTATAATGACATTGCTCCGAAATGTAATTGCTGAAATAATATATTCACCGTTAATGGTGAATCTTAACTCACTTGTTTGGTCAGCTTCTACTGTTGTTTACCAATCTATATCTTGTATTTAAATTTTAAAATATTCTTTGTGGCATCAATTGAAATTTGCTCATGTTTTTTTAACTATTTCCTATACAGATTCGATTTTCTATTCGAAGAGAACAGATTCTATTTTAATATTTTGGTTTAACTCTGATTTTCTGCAACGTGACGTAATGCAGAATATTACGTTAAGGGCGTAATAACAAAAAACAATCAATTGTATTACACGATAGTAACTGTATTTCGGAGTTCTTCAACAAACAATGGAAATTCAAAATGAGAATGAATTGTGTCAAGTCCAGAAATAATGTTTGTTTATGTCAGCCTGTAAACAAAATGGAACTTTTCTCATTGCAAACCATTCATTTCAATCCTCTGTGTGAACGCCTAAAGGCTGATAAGCTTTTTTTTAGTTATTATAAGCAAATTCAATAAACAATAATGAAGCATCAACAATAAAAATAGACAAAAAATATATAGTATTTTCAATACGTTGCGAAACGAATCAGCAAACAGTTAAGTTAATACGTAACATCCAACATTCTAACAAAAAGTTTTCTTACACATTACTAAACTTTCATTTCTTATGGTATAAAACTTTTTCCATTTCTCTTCTTTTCTTCATTCTCCTTCGGGTAAACTGTATATCAGCATATCACTTCATTCTGCGCTTCTTGTTCAACTTTATTTCCTGTTCGTTGTGGTTCCCGCGCCATTGTTTTGGATACCCAGACCTCCCCATTCGCCTCCCCTGGCTGAACCAACGCAATAGCCTCTTGGCCGTTTCCTTTCTTCTACTTTGTACCGACTTTGCTCATTATTTTCTGTGGTGCTGCGTATTTCTCATTTTCTCTCTCATTTACTACTTCTATTCTGATAGCTAGTATTGCGTCATTTAGTTTACTGGAATTTCTCACTTTGTACACTTTTCTGGGTTTAACACATACAAAAATATTTCTTCATCACGCCTATTCTATATTTTCCAAATGTATCTGAAGTAAAGTAAAAAATATTTATTGTATATCAAATTCAGATCACAATTACTTCAATACTCTGTCAGAATGTTTAAGTTGAAACTGAGAATTACGAGGGGATATTCAAAACCGCAGAATGTTTTGCAAAAAGAGGCCAACTAAATATTGAGTAGGGATGGCATTTTTTGTTCATTCGACGAAAATCTGATAAATCAAAACAGTTTATATATTGGTTAAGATTTTTAGATATTTGCGGAGGTTTTGGTTGTAATAGTTATATTTATAGTACAATTATTGATACCTCACATTACTCTCATCGAGATAACTCTTTGGCATTGTATATTCATTTTACTTACCC